TGTAAGGCAATAATATGTATATTCATTATGTTACACATTGTAAGGCAATAATATATATTCATTACGTTACATATTGTAAGGCAATAATATATATTCATTATGTTACATATTGTAAAGTAATGACATATATATTCATTACGTTTCACATTGTAAGATAATTATACATATTTATTACGTTTCACATTGTAAGATAATTATATACATTCATTAAGTACCACATTGTAAGATAATTATATATATTCATTACGTTTCACATTGTAAGATAATTATATATATTCATTAAGTACCACATTGTAAGATAATTATATATATTTATTACGTTTCACATCGCAAAATAACATCTGTTTATCATACTTATTTTGTACTTGCCGAACATGACACTACATTCACTGACAAGATACAAGAAAACGTATTTTTGAGCTCTATTTGATGTTGAAATTACTGGATTAGTTTTCAGAATTCAAGATATTATTTATAAAACTATCTAACGAAATCAATATTTCTGTGTTTAGACGTGCGATATTTTCAAACAGATTTGATGATATGTTACTACTTTAAATGTTTCACGTGGCTCGTCTTTCTCCATATAGAAAGTTGAATTAGGAGTCTTATTGATTCAAATCGATTTTACCTGTTATAACTGTTTTGTATGCGTATGTTTAAAATAGATCAATCATCGATCAGTTATTTTCGAATTAAAACATGAATCTGTGTTCAACCATTATTTTATCTTTCTGATTCTTAACTGATCTGAGATGTTGTGGTATAAGAAGTGGATTCCTTTATATTAGAAAATACTCCAGTGCCGATGTTTACATATAAATTAGGACTAACCTACTACAGTTATAAACTATTTCCGTGTAATATAAGACTTCATTCTCAAACTGAAGCTGAATAAGCATTGTTTGTTTGTTTGTTTTTGAATTTCGCGCAAAGCTACACGAGGGCTATCTGCGCTAGCTGTCAATAATTTAGCACTGTAAGACTAGTGGGAAGGCAGCTAGTCATCACCACCCACCGCCAACTCTTGGGCTACTCTTTTACCAACGAATAGTGGGATTGACCGTCACATTATAACGCCCCCACGGCTGAAAGGGATGAGGATTCGAACCCGCGACCCTCAGATTGCAAGTCGAGCACCCTAACCACTTGGCCATGCCGGGCTCTGAATAAATAATAGAAACGAGAAAACAAAATAAAACACATTTATATAGATTTTAATGGGAAAATTATATTTGTATTGGTTTGTTTGTTTTTAATTATGCACAAAGCTACACAAGGGCTATCTGTACTCTGCCCACCACGGGTATCGAAACCCGGTTTCTAGCGTTGTAAGTCCGTAGACATGCCGCTGTGCCACTGGGGGCATTTGTATTGGTAATATCACGCGTATCGTAAACCTGCATAGATGCGTGTAAGGTTTTGTTCTGTTTTGCATGACCGATTAGCTGCATAATGAGACAGTTCTGAAAAAAATACCTGGTGCGGAGAATACCATGCTTATATGTGTACATAAACTGACGTCATTCTTTAATTACATTCTCAGATATAGCTAGCAACTTTAGGATGCTCCTGTCAAGGTTAGATTGTCTGTCACGTCACGGTGGTATTACTATTTTTCGATATAAAGACACGGCAGTGTTAATTGCATTCTTTATTCTTCACATCTTCAATTGTGCCCGTCAAACTGAGTGACGGTTGTTCTAGTTAGAGGTAATTTGTGTCGCAGTGATATTACAGAAACATGGTAATATTACGTGTGTGTTCTCCTGTAGACAGATCGCAAGTTACTTCTTTAAGCTCAGAACTTATTGTAGGGTAAATTTAAAGGTAATAGCTACTAGTAGTTTGAGCCTACTACTTGTCACGCAGATGAAGTCAAGCCTCCTGCCAAGCCGAGAGATTTGGTGGATCTTCGGAAGGATTCGTGAACACGTGTTTCTAGTTGTCGTTGTCACGGTTCAAAACTCGTGGCAGGCAGTTTTAGGCAAGCGAATATTCACCGGGAGGTAGTGGTAACGGTTAGATGTGCCTTGGAATCCATTAATCACAACAAACAAAAGGGGAAAAGCTAAGAGTATAGAAGGCTCTATACTTTGCAGTGCAACAAAAATAAATCATGATTAGAGTTGGTGAATTCTAATTCATAAATAACTTCATCTATGCAATGCTCTGTCAAGCAACAAACAATAGGCGAATGGAATGCTTAGGGTAAGTTATAGGATCTTTCAAGGCTTAGCGAAATTAAAAGCCTGAAAACGACAGATGAGGTTTCAAACTTCTATAACACACAAACATACACAGCAGTATATATCGCTGTCAGTAAATCACCAAGAAGTTTACACATATTATTCTGAATACGAGGTTTCTCAGCAAAAAACATCCAACGAAAAGTCTAGGATAATTACCGTATTAATATTAAAAAACACATATTATGGAATGGGGAAAAAATATTATAGATAGTTAATATTCTACATTCTGAACAGCAGAACAGTTTTCAAAACCCGAGAGAAATAGAAGTGTAGCGACATAACACTTAGTCTGCGAGTCAGGGGAGACATATTTGGTGGGCTAATTCCCAAACAAAGCTTTCTATCTGGTGCTCTATCTCTCCCTTTACACTTCTAAATAAAAATTTGAACTCCTTGTGTTATCTGGAATTTGATTTTTCCATCAGCGTAGTTAAATTCGTCATAGTTTTAAAGCTGACCACATAGTGGGATTTGACCGTCATTCTTATATCACACCCTAGGTCCAAAGTTTGCGATAACTGACCGAGAACCATGAATCCTCTGATTTACACTAACAATTAAACACTTCCGGCCACGATCGTCAAATATATAGATGGATAGAAAGACAGTTGAAATATAAATTATTTTGTATCTTGGTTGTAAAGCTGCACAGTGAGCTATCTGCGTACAGACCCACCAGAGGGATCGAGCTCCGGATTTTAGTGTAATAAATGTTATCGCTGAGCCACCGAGTGGTTGATAGATAGGTAGATGGATAGATTTTTCGCAACGTTCCTTCAAACGTTTATTTAAAGGCAAAGGAAAAACATACTTTATACAATATTCCCACGACATATTAAAACCTGGCTAGAAACCTGTAAAATACTACTTTTGTGGACAACCATCATTAATTTGATACAAGTCAAGGTGACAGGTCTAGGCCTCCGAAAATTGATCAGGTAATCAGGTACATATTTCATTCAGTATAAACGATCCTAGAAACAGTACGTGATTTGGTGGTTTTCATTATACTGAACGGTTGTGTTCATGATTACTACTTTTACATCAGAGTATTCCCTCAATTTACCCACATTTTGGCAAGGTAAACCTTACGTAAAGACTCTTGATAGGCAGGCCCCAAAATCTGTCTCAGCCCTTAAGGCGAAAGAAGTTTATATCCTTTTCCATTTTTTGGAAAGTCGAGGTTTTCGCGTGCTGCTTCCATCCCCCCGTTCTAGTTTACGTTTTCATGTAAACTATAATTATCCACCTGGTCGAATCTAGAAAAGTTAACAAAATTTTAAACTGATATCAGCCTCTTGTGACTGATCACTTATAATTGGTGCTTTAGCAAAGGAAAGACCTGATTCTTCTCTTCAAGAGCGAATTCCAAAAGATTGAAAACGAACAAGTAGTAAAGCCTAATTAATTGCTTCTGAACTGATTGGACGATAAAATTACTCTTTCTCGGTAGTTTTAATTGGGTAAAAGTGTTTTTGTTCTAAATTAAAGAGAAAGAATTATTTTGATCATAATTAAAGTTTGTTTATATCCTTACTTATATATTAAACAAATGAGTGTTTATATCCTTACTTATATATTAAACAAATGAGTGTTTATATCCTTACTTATATATTAAACAAATGAGTGTTTATATCCTTACTTATAGATTAAACAAATGAGTGTTTATATTCTTACTTATAGATTAAACAAATGAGTGTTTGTATTCTTACTTATAGATTAAACAAATGAGTGTTTATATCCTTACTTATAGATTAAACAAATGAGTGTTTATATCCTTACTTGTATATTAAACAAATGAGTGTTTATATCTTCACTTATAGATTAAATAAATGAGTGTTTTTCCATTATAAACTAACTTACTTGGCAAATGATACTTTAAATGTCTACTGTTTGTTTGTTTGTTTTTAATTTCGCGCAAAGCTACACGAGGGCTATCTGCGCTAGCCGTCCCTAATTTAGCAGTGTAAGACTAGAGGGAAGGCAGCTAGTCATCACCACTCTTGGGCTACTCTTTTACCAACGAATAGTGGGATTGACCGTCACATTATAACACCCCCACGGCTGAAAGGGCGAGCATGTTTGGTGTGACGGGGATTCGAACCCGCGACCCGCAGATTGCGCCCCAACCACCTGACAATACCAAGCCAGCTTGAAAATAGCTCCAAGGAATATACTGAAAGCTCACCAACAAAATTACAAGTATAGAACGTGGAGAAGGAAAACGGATGAGATCCCATCTTTTTTTATCATTAACTTACACAAGTTATTTATTCACGATCCATAAAAATAGACATACTAGTTTTAATTTACGATAATATGTTTTTACAACATACCTTTTTTGGCTGCATTAGACGTTTATTATTTTTTAACATGCTAAACTTTGCTCTTGGGATTTGAACATTGTTAATCAATTTATTATAAGCAGCAACGTCTAGACAGCAACCGAGTTCTATTATCTTCTTAGTTTTTTGTCTCGTTTTACTATTATTATTATTATTAATTCGCGGCTAATGTCTATTCTTGTTTTAGTCACTGTCATTTAAACTTGGGGATGGGTCATCTTCCGGTTTTCCATTTAAATTAGAGCAAAGATTCTCAAACTGTGGTACGTGTACACGACACAATTAATATAAAAATTATAAAATTTGTAATAAGCCCTATCTGAGCTTTCCACGTACATATACCTACTATTCTCCTCACTTATAGACTCACCCTCTACTTACATAGACTCGCCAGTATTTTATTCCCTTCAAATTGACAAAAACAGTTCCACGTGTTCTTTAATCGCGCCAGAAAAAACTATCACATCTTTCGCATTAATGGGTAAGTGATAAAAATATGAATTTTTGTTGCTAGGTTTTTTTATCTGTTTTTAAAAATTAGGCAGGCCTGGGTTTTTTTTTAATTAAACAAAAAAATGGTAAGCGAGCCTGATACGTCTGAGAACCAGAGGCAAGTTGTGATGTTCACTAGGGAAAAGGTAAACTTAAGCAGCTAAACACAAAACATTAGATCCTAAATATTATATATTTGAAATACCATCATTTCACTGAAATAAGTATATGGCGATTTGATGCAGTTGATACTAACGCTTGTATTGAACTAGGTATTAAACCTATATTTTATGAGTTTTCAGAACTCCTCTCGTTCGATTGGCCTGGCATGGCCAGGTGATAATGGCGCTCGACTCGAAATCTGCGGGTCGCGGATTCGAATCCCCGTCCCATCAAACATGCTCGCCCTTTCAGCCGTGGGGGCGTTATAAAGTAACGGTTAATCCCACTATTCGTTGATAAAAGAATAGCCCAAGAATTGGTGGTGGGTGGTGATGACTAGCTGCCTTCCCTCTATTCTTACTCTGCTAAATTAGGGACGGCTAGCGCGGATAGCCCTCGTGTAGCTTTGCGCGAAATTCAAAACAAACAAACCTCTCGTTCGATGAAAGTTAGGGGTAATTATTTTTACTAGTATGACAGTTTTTTGTTTGTTTTTACTTTGGTTAGTAATACAAGTGCAATGTATACATTCTGAGTATCGTCAAAACGAAACGTCATGAGGTTAAGAACACACACATATATATATAACTTATAAAATACGTTTTAATACAAATATTAAAATATTTTTTCTATAATTTAAAATTAAACTTACACACCGATGTTGAAGACCATTGCATTAGCAACAAAAGTGTTTAGAAATCACAAATAAGCTGTATAGTTTTAGCAATGGATATTTCAGATATGGGCGAGCTCGGCCTAGTGGCTATGACTATCGTGCCCGACTGTGGAGTTGAGGTCCTATGGTTCGCGTTCAGTTTCGCTAGAAACATTCGCGATTCGCACTCTACGGCTGTGTGTGCGTTATAAGAGACATTGGTAAACTCCTCTCTTCGGTCTGAGAAGATTAGCTCAAGAGTTGGCGGTGTGTGACGTTGACTAGCTGACTTCCCTCTAGTCTATCACTTCAAAATTAGGGACGGCTAGAACAAATGACTCTCTTGTAGCGCGAAATCCAACAAAACAAACAGTTTAGAATTAAAGAAAAATTTGTACTTGTTTCTGGACAACATGATAATATATATATATGTATATGTGTGTGAGAGATTATTTCCAGAAAGCTTATTATGGATTTGGGAATCAGCCATTGAAAGGAACACATTTCTTCCAGTATCGGATATGATGAATATATTATTCTTCGCAAAGTTTCTAATAATATAACACCCTATAATTTCAAAAACAATAACATATAAAATTGATTGTATCCTTGAGAAGAAATAAGTTTCTTTAAAATCATAAGGTATGACGATATAGTTACCTAATATTTAGACTGAGTTATCTGATGACGCATACATCTTAACACGGCAAATGACGTCATCTACAAAATACAGTAAGTGGTTGAGAAAATCAACCCACTAGGAATAAATATTCGCCAGTGGTAACCGAACTCCTTTCAACCATTATCAGAACATACCACGCAACTTAGGTTCACATTCCATTAATAACAGACGACTTCACCTCCAGTGTAAAATATATATAGAGAGACAGATAACGCTACTCCTATCATACACTACCAGCAATTGATACGTTTCTTTGACAATGTATGCAGGTTGCCTTAAAAACACATAATGGAAAGAGTATAGTAAAGTAAGCGAACTAAAAATACATGCGTACTTGCCAGTGGTAATGACATCAGCTACTACCAGAACTTATCGCATTACTAAAATAATACGTGTGGGCTACCATCACATCACTTCCAATAAATCTGAACTAAGCAGTTTTTCAATAAACACAGAATAAAAGAAGTTTGAAGCCAATGACAATTAAATGCTAATACTTCAATTATTTTCATGTCCATATATTACAATTATCCTGAAAACATCTGAAGAACTAAAATATAAACAGTTAAATAAAAAATATCGACGTAAGTTGCTGAATTGGAATTCAGTAATCTAGAGAAGCGTTCTAAGAGAAGTTTGGGAAAAAAATTGATTAACGTTGCAAATAAATCAGTAGAACATGCATAATAAAAATCAGGAAAAAAGTTATAAAACATAGTAGAACTGTAAGTAAGATTCTGAAAGATGAAACAGAAATAAAATTCAGAATCTAGCTGTAAAGTATCACTAAAATATAGACGTAGACGTAAAGAAGAAAGTTGTGTGAACAACAAAATATCAAAAGGTAAAGAAACACTATTAAGAAGATGGATAGTAGTAATTAAATAACTGAAATAATAAATAATGAAAATGTGAATGAAGAGTAAAAAGTAAGATAAATAAAGAACAAATTTTTGCAAAATAGAGCTATAAGAATTAATCGAAGAGACATGAAACATAAATACAGATGTATATATTAAAACAGACACATGAATAATTACTTGGTGTATCTCACGTGAAATACAACAAAAATAACAGTAACAGTGAGATAATGTTAACTGTCAGTGTTAATTTTGAATAACAACTATTTTGATAAAGAAACACGATAGTGTAGAAACGAAATTTTATATAAAATTTTAAACGACAAACTTTTATAAAACGTTATCAAAAATCAAAGAAATACTTTCGAAAACAAACAAAATTTAGATTATATAGGAGACAATGAAGCAAAAAAAAGCGATCTAAGTAAAAAACAAAAGAATATCTAAATAAAGAATCAAGCAAAGAACTAAACTTGAAAGCTGGTAAACCTATAAACATAAAACTTCAAAGAATTTTTAAAGGTTTTTTCCTGTTTCTTATCGTTACATATTAAATGTTGCTGTAGTAAGTTTTCGTTCTACATGTTTTGCTTGAATGATTTACACGTAATATTTACCAACTACTAACCAGATTGTGATATGATGCGAAAACACACATTGTTAATTTTGTAATATGTAGCAAAATACTTGTGCTCAGTCCTCGTATTTGACGTACTGTAAATGTTTAAGCTTCTCAACTTTCTTACGCTACACTTACATAATGAGTAGGTGCTTCTTGTACTACACTTACATAATGAGTAGGTGCTTTTTGTACTACACTTACATAATAAGTAGGTGCTTCTTGTACTACGCTCAAGTAATGAGTAGGTACTTCTTGTACTACGCTCAAGTAATGAGTAGGTACTTCTTGTACTACGCTAAAGTAATGAGTAGGTACTTCTTGTACTACACTTACATAATGAGTAGGTAATTCTTGTACTACACTCAAGTAATGAGTAGGTACTTCTTGTACTACTACAAGAAGTACCTACTCATTACTTGAGTCATTACGTAAGTGTAGTACAAGAAGTACCTACTCATTAGATGAGTGTAGTACAAGAAGTACCTACTCATTACTTGAGTGTAGTACAAGAAGTACCTACTGATTAGTTGAGTGTAGTACAAGAAGTACCTACTGATTACGTGAGTGTAGTACAAGAAGTACCTACGCATTACGTAAGTGTAGTACAAGAAGTACCTACTCATTAGATGAGTGTAGTACAAGAAGTACCTACTCATTACGTAAGTGTAGTACAAGAAGTACCTACTCATTAGTTGAGTGTAGTACAAGAAGTACCTACTGATTACTTGAGTGTAGTACAAGAAGTACCTACTGATTATGTAAGTGTAGTACAAGAAGTACCTACTCATTACTTGAGTGTAGTACAAGAAGTACCTACTCATTACGTAAGTGTAGTACAAGAAGTACCTACTCATTACTTGAGTGTAGTACAAGAAGTACCTACTGATTACTTGAGTGTAGTACAAGAAGTACCTACTCATTACTTGAGTATAGTACAAGAAGTACCTACTCATTACTTGAGTGTAGTACAAGAAGTACCTACTCATTACTTTAGCGTAGTACAAGAAGTACCAACTCATTACTTGAGCGTAGTACAAGAAGTACCTACTCATTACGTAAGTGTAGTACAAGAAGTACCTGCTCATTACTTGAGTGTAGTACAAGAAGTACCTACTGATTATGTAAGTGTAGTACAAGAAGCACCTCCTCATTATGTAAGTGTAAAAGTAGGTACTTCTTGTACTACACTCAAGTAATCAGTAGGTACTTCTTGTACTACACTCAACTAATGAGTAGGTACTTCTTGTACTACACTTACGTAATGAGTAGGTACCTCTTGTACTACACTTACATAATCAGTAGGTACTTCTTGTACTACACTCAAGTAATCAGTAGGTACTTCTTGTACTACACTCAAGTAATGAGTAGGTACTTCTTGTATTACACTTACATAATGAGGAGGTGCTTCTTGTACTCCACTT